ATGCGCAGGCTTGCCAACGCACAGACTGCAACATAAGGCGTTTTAGAAGCAAGCGCTCATTTTAACCTTGCCCTCAGTTATCTTTCCAAGAAAATAATTGCTCGAAAATTAGTTTCGCAGCAATTTTTGTAGTGCTCTGATCAAAACAACATATCTCTGACTCACATGAACCCTATAAACTTTACGATTGGGAAGGTTGGATCCCCATAAGTTGGGGCGTGATCTCCCAAACTCCTGATGGCTACTCCACTCGATTGTAAGGCTTCGCCTCTTATTCTTATTCAGATTCTTTATTTTTATTGCTTGGCGGCTCAGCCAAAAAACGAACAAGCTTCCTGGATGGCCCCTTACGGGCGAAGGGTGTAATAAAGGCAAACCCGCAACACTGGGGGTGTTCGCAGTTCGCAGTTCGCACCACAACAATGACAACACCTGGTACTGCGCGTTCGCAGCGGCAGCGGCTACTCGGACTACCCTCCGAGCGGGTTGCGGAAGGATAATGGAACTGGGGGAGGGGGGGGGGGGAGACAACGGAAACCAGATGTAACGCAGAGAATGAATTAATGTGCGCGCGGACACACACAGTGCGGGTGTGGATGTGCTCGGGAAAGAGGCGGACGAGAGAACCACTGCGAGTCTGTGGCGGCGAGAGCGCCCCGCGCGCAGTTGCACTGGCACCACCGCCAACCAGTGGCCCACCGCAGACACAGGGTGGACACAGCAGGGTGGGGCGTGCGAGCTTGTAAAATGAGAGAAAAGAAGATTTCAGCGGCGACGCTGTGGTGGTGCACGCTCGCCGGAACGAACCTTGGCGAGCGAGATTTATGGCTTGTCCTGGTGTGTGGAGGGCGTCGTCCCGGGCCGAGCGTCGCCGTCGTCTGGCGCTGCGGCTGACCTTGTGTGTCCAGCCCTGCACCCCTCTCTGACCAGCCCCTGCGCCCAGATCACCCGCATTGCCCTCCCTAAACCTCATTGCACCGCAGAAAACTTTCCTTCATTCTCCCCCCTTTTGCCAGAGGACCCGTGTGCTGGGATGCCTGCCTGAAGTCAAATAGGCAATTAAAATAGGAAAAAAGAAGCAATACTGACACTTTCTATTCGAATTGAAAAGATATTTAAAGTCAGACTTTTGGAACATTTTAGAATTAATATTCACGGTGGGACTCACCTTTGCTTGACACCTTCGGTTGTCTACATCATGGTGCCCGCGGCCCTCAGTACCACGCGTGCAGCGCCGCCACGCGTCCCGCCGCGCAGTGCCGCAACAATGTCGAGCGCCTCGCTCTAAATCTGGAGCGCCTGAAACAAAACGCCGGAAACACTTAACAAATGGATCCGAGGATGGCGAGAGAGAAGGAACCCCGAGCGCATCGCGTTCGCGCCACGGGGGCGGGGCGGGTGTGGTGCGGCTCGAGACGAAAAATACACTGACGTTCCCCTTCCTGACCTAGCCTATAACTTACTCCCCGGCTCCTCTCGCCTAGATTTATTCCCCCCCAAACTCTGCTGTCACCGAATTTGTACACCCCGCGTAACCGAACGTCACATCTCAGCCGGCCCCCACTCCGTCGTCGCTCGCGACCCCACGGTCACCAGCGTTAGGGCAGGCGGCAGCGGATGGCGCTATGGCGCCTAGCCGCGAAGAAACGGACGAGGGGTAGCCAACTCGCATAATATTCCGTACACGGGTCCCATAATACCTTTATAATACTCCATAATATGTCACAAAATGCCCCGAAATAGCCCCCATAATACCTTGTAATACCTGATAGTAGTCTATAATACTTCATAATATCAAATAATATGCTGAAATCCGTTAAAACCTGCCATAATACTGCATTATACTATAATACTCCGTACACTGCTGAGGTGAGCTGGCGACCCCTCAGAACAGCAACAGCTCAGATGACAGGCTTTAACTTTAACAACAACAGCAACAACAACATCAGGAAGAGGAAGTACACCATTTAAAAAATTAGAGCTATGACATATTCAAAATTAGTCAAAATTAGTGTACTACTAATTTCCTCACAGGCCCTAAAAGTGCAGGCAAGGGATAGGCCCTGGAAAATTTCCTGCGGCTGCTGCGCTCGACCTGGATTGGAGACTCGTACGGTCTATCGACGCAGCGTTGCCAAGAAAATGGAGGAAGGGATACATCTCTCTTCCCCATGATTTGTTATAGGCGCGGGCTTCCTTCCTGGTTTTGCTTCGCCGCCAGTAATTTTGTTCGCTTTCATTTTTGGCCTCTTTTCGGTTGGCTCATTAAAACTAGAGAGAAATTTCTCTCGAGTCACCAGGACCCGTGGACAGATTTCACCCCCACCGAACAGTGCCATTCACTTCACGCGTACCTCTTCGTCGAGAATACTCCAGCTGCAGCCGTTCCTCCACGAAGCCTGTCGGTTTTGGCTCGCAGCACCGCACCCAGTCGCGCAGCCCCTCGGCTCCGGGTTTGATGACGGAAGGGAGAGCGGCGAAATGGAGAAAACAGGGACTTCCCCATAGTCGGCGGCGCCTGGAAGAGAGAAATCTCCAATAAAAGCAGGGCCAGTTTATCTCCTTCCTCGTGTGTTTATTTTTACTCCGCATCCCGTGTGTTCCCTCCCGCGCCATCCCACTTCCCTCCCCACCCTCTTCCTCTTCCTCTCCCTCCCCATCCCATCCCCGTCCCTCCCTCGTCTCCATCCCCCATCCAAAGAGCAGACCTCGGGCACCACTGTCGACTTTGCGCTCGACTCGACGTCAAGATGCGGTCGAACGAAACGCGCCGCAGTTTCCGTCGTTTGTGCCGACGGAGCCAATGTTATGAGAGAAAAAAATTGAACTGATTGAAAATTATGTATTCTTGTATTTAATTAGTTTGCGGCTTTCGGAAAGTTTGATATAACAAAACCACAAAGAAGGTCAATATTCACATTTCCACTGGCGCAGTGCGCAGCAGTGGTCCCGCGACTTTTTGCAAACTCACTCCCGAAAGGAGACGAAAAGGAAGCAAATGGGTCGAGGTGGGGGGTAGGGAGTTGAAACCACCGAATCCAGCCATTAATAAATTTGCAGTTCAACATTCATACCGGGATTCGCGTAGTGGGTCAAAGGGCGGGGTGGAGTGCGGAGGGCTCAGATTGTTCCGACTCGGCCTAAGAGAGAAGCGAACGAACGCGTCGCGCGTTGCGTCCCCGTTCCCATTATGAGCTTGAGCGCGCCTTCTTTCACCTCCACAGGGCGACGAGGACCAGCGCGAAAAGCAAACGAAACGCCACCCGCTAGCTGTCAGCCACTTCCTGCGCCAACT